GAGGGGGACGGGGACACTGGAGGGTTTGTCTGGAGGGTCCTCCAGAAGGATGATGGAGGAGCACAGGTCTGAAGGACTGGTCGTGAGGACCAGATGGTGGAGGAGGACAGGATGTGGTCCAGCAGACTAGTCCTCACGGGAGGATGAGGAAGGTGGACTGGGCTGAGGCCTGGAAGCCGGGTCCTCAGTAGCTGGGGGAGATGGAGATGAGGTCTTGGAAGTCCTGTTTGCATGTGATGTCAATGCCGTCTGCAACCACAGAGCCAGCTGGTCAAATAGAAACCAGACTGAAGTGACCGGCAGCGCGTGGACAGCAGTCTGTCTGGGCATGATGCGGCCCCTCCTCACTGCTCTCAGAGCTGCCTGGCTTCCCTTCCTCTCTCCTCTTTCTCTTCTCCCCTCCCTCTCTTCTTCTTCTTCTTCTTCAACTGTAGAAACGCAAAAGAATTCAAATACTTGACCTGGTTGCCATCCATTCTAGATCCTCCAATAGTCCAAATAAATGAAACCTAAACGTGAGATGGCTCTATTTAGACACAATTCAGCTTTGGGCTGTGGACTTGGAACATTCTAGAAAGTGTCTTCTCAAAGTTGTGTTCCTCAGCCCTCATTGTTACTGTTATTGTCATCTCTCCATTAGGGAGTCAGAGGAGGGGTGAGGGTAGAAGCTGACAGAGACAGGTATATGCTTCCTGCAGATTTGGAAGACACAGAAAGAGGTCTCAAGGCAGGGGGTGCTGGGGAGCCCAGGAGCTGGAACAGGCAGGAGACGGTTCTCCCCGGAGCGTCCAGAGAGAATCAGCCTTGTAGACCCATCTTAGACTTCTGACCTCCATGATCGTCACATATTTACTCTGTGTTGCTTTAAGCCACTAAATTGGTTGACCTTCTTACAGCCTCAAGAAGAAACCTCTGTCTGTCTTCTCTCTCTCTTTTTCTCTCTCCTCTCTCTCTGTTTCTCTCTGTCTCTCCTCTCTGTCTTTCTCTGTGTCTCTCTCTGTGTGTCTCTCTCTTCTCTCTCTCTCACACTCTCACTCTCCTCTCACGCTCTCTATCTCTCTCTGTCTCTCTCCCCTCTCTCTTCTCTTTCTGTCTCTCTCTTCTCTTTGTCTCTGTCTCTCCCGCTCTCGCACATGTGCGCTCTCTCTCTCTCTCTCTCTCTCTCTCTCTCACTCACACACACACACACACACACACACACACACACACACACACACCCCCTACACACCTGATAGCCTGGTGGTAAGAACCTGTGCCGTAAACAAAAACACCTGCAGGTGAAATCCACCAGAGGCTCTGTAGGGGAAGAGTGGGCAGTCCCCTCCCGTGTGACTGAAAACCTGCTGGAGGGTCAGCTACGGGTCAGTTCCAACATATGTTTAAGCAATGTAACCCCAACAGCAGCCCGGCCACTGATGTGTTAGACCCCTTTGTGACCCTTTTTCCTGTGGGTCCCGTCGGCGTCGACAGCTATCACACCCACACACGTAGAACCTTCTCCAGAGATGAGTTCTGACCCTGTTTCTCTTTCTTTCCTTTCACTGGTGTGCAGGTCTCTCTGCTCGTGCTCCTGAACCATGGACACCTCTGTTGACGACTTCCGACTCGTACCTGATGGAGCAAAGAAGGTCCCCGCCCTGGACGCTGTGTGCTGTCGAGCTGCTGTCACCGCAGTGGGGGCCGCTGGCATCATTGGGGTCTCCCTGGGCATTCTTCTGGGTGAGTGTTCACAGCCATGGGGACCATGCAAAGATGGGGGAAGGGCCCCTATGGGGCCACAAGCTTGGTGTCCACTCAGAGGTGACGGTGGACCTTCATGAGGCTCAAGACATGAGCAAGGGGACTCACTGGCACTCCTTGTGTCCTGAGGTCAGACCTGGAAGGATGCGTGCCAGGGTCACCACACACAGTGCTGCACCAGGCGGCTTGAAGCAGAAATGCGTCCTTTCCACCATCTGCAGATGGAAAGTCCCAGATTCAGGGCATCAGCGGGGCTGTGTTTTCACTAAAGGTCTCAGGCAGGATCTTGGCTTGTTTCCGGGGCCCTGGCATTCCTTGGCTTGTAGTGGTATCACTCCACTGTCTGTTTCAGTCTTCACTACTTGTCTTCCTTCTGTGTCTGTCTCCTTCCCTGTTCCTGTAAGGACACGAGCTGGGGCCCACCTGCCTCCAGCATCTAGTTACAGCTTCTAAGATTGCTCCACATTCAACACTTTTGGCACCAGCAGTCAGGAAATCAAAGGACGCATTGCACTGGGAAGATCTGCTGTCAGGAACCTCTCCAGAGTGCTGAAGAGCAACGATGTCAGTCTAGAGGCTAAGGTGCCCCTGATCCAGTCTGCAATTACTTGCTATGCATCAGAGAGCTGGACAATAACTAAAGATGACAGAAGAAGAATCAATGTTTTTTAACTGTGGTGCTGGAGAAGAGTCTTGAACATACCATGGACTACCAAGAAAACAAATAAGTCTGTCTTGGAAAGAGTGAAACCAAGTTTCTCCTTGGAGGCTAGGACTTTGAAGCTCTGTCTCACATACTTTGGGCATGTAGCCTGGAGGGACTGGTCCTTGGAGAAGGACAACATGCTCAGAAGGGGTAGCACAGGAGAGGAAGACTCCAGATGAGATGGATTGACACAGTAACTGGGGTAATGGCGGTAGGTGTGTTGGAGTCAGTGAGACCGGCTCAGGACAGGGCAGGGTTCAGAGCTGCTGTACATAGGGTTGCTATGGGTCACAGGCGACTTGACAGCATATAACAACAATAAAAACAAGATTGCTTCCAAACAAGGTCACGTCCACGTGCAGTGAGGTCACATTCATGTGTTCTGAGGTCAGAACTTGAGCAAACTTTTATTAGGACACAATTAACCCATAGATTCCTGGACTGTGAGCTATCTGCATTTTTAAACCATGACAGTGTAGTAGTAAACACTTTCTAGAATGTTCCAGCTCTGCTCAGCAAGGTTCCCCAAGATGATAGTCACCAATCCGACATGATTGTTTAACTTTAAGTCCGTTAAAATGAGATGAAATAAAGAATTCAGATACATTTCCAACGCACCATGGCCACACATGGCCGTTCTTCTGGACAGCAGGGTTCTGGGACATTTTTACTGTCACAGAAAGTTCTAGACAGCCTGTTCTGGACTGGATGTCTTCTGAGATGGTGCACTGTGTAGAGTTTTATTTCAGGATGCTCAACTCAGTTCTCTGTTACGCAATGGTGGTGACAGCGGGCGACCTGGGGAAATGGCCCCTGTTCCTAAAGATGGTGGTAATAGTAGGTGACCTGGGGGAATGCCCCCCATTTGGCAAGGAGTTGGCAGTCTGTGGGTGCCTGCTCATCTTGTATTTGCCTGATGTGAGTTCACGGTCTCCCCACATGTCTGCCAATTTGTCAAGCACTGTGTGGTCTGTAGGTTGCTGGCACTGGTATGTCCAGTACCAGAAGGGTCACCCTTCATGGGCAGATTTTAGCAGAGCTACTGGACTTGAGACAGACTAGGAAGCAGGACTGGCGTCCACTTGTGAACTCCCAGACCTTGGAAATTCCTCTGGAGAATGGAAGTGCTGTTGGATTTGGTGAGTTGGAGGCACTCGGAATGAGCTGGAGGAAGAGCTGCTCTTCAAAGCAGAGTCCACCACAGTGCCTCAGACGCAGCAAAGTCTTCCCCAGTATTGTGGTTGCTGTTGTGTGCCGTCTAGTCAGAAGTGGCCCACAGCTGACCCTCCAGCAGGTTTTCCGAGGCAGTTACTCACATGGGAGGGGTTTTCTATTCTTCTCTGGGGGCAACTGGTGAGTCCTGACCACGTGCCTTCGGGATTGCAGCTCAGCTTCTCACCACGAGGCCACCAGAGCTCTCCTCACTCAATGAGGTGCCCTCATTTCTGTCACCAAGACCTTGTTTTCCGACTACCCATCCTTCTTTATTTGAAGAAGGATTTATTCAAATGGAGGTTCACTCAGTAAAGTACCTTCATCTGATGAGGTTACAAAGCTCGAAATGAGGAAGAACATCTTCAAATATCTACTGCCAACTGGAACATGGACTGTATAAAGTGTGAATCTAGAAAAATCATGTGTTGTCGGATATGAAACGGTGCACATTCAGATCAGCATCCTAGGTGAGCCGACTGCTACTGGCCATTTTAAACCAGACAAGCACATGGTCTAATACGCTGGAAATAACAAATTGAAGAGGAAAGTGTGGCATTCATTATCATGAAGAGTGTTAAAGATTTATCCCGAAGTACACTGTGGTGAGTGACAGAATACTACCCATTGCTGTTGGTGTGTACCATTGAGTCAGACCGTCTGGCGAGTTTTCAGAGACAATCACTTGGGGGGAGAATGTCCATCCTTCACCCACGGAGCAGCTGGGGGCCTCCAACTGCATGACCTCAGGATTGCAATGAATCTTCTTACCACGAGGTCACCAGAGTTACCCATACATATACATGAAAGTCTTGCACGAAAGTTACTATAACTGTGATTGAAATATACACATCATGGTGGAGGGGACCTGGGGGAGGGTTTGTAAAACAATGAAAGAATCTTTTCTTTTACTTTTCCATAATTTTTGGACTCATGTACTTGTAACTTGTTAGTCAAATTTGTGTCTTCTAGGTTGCAACACCCCCATGATACATCTTCAAGGATATGAACATGTACAGCCAAGCACAATCAATAAGAGTGCATCTAAATTCCAAAATCAATCTCCATAATAGTCTATGTGTTTCCTACTGCCAAAGGGGCCCTTTAGAGTAGTGAGAGAAGATCTTCACCCTGAAACCCACAGCGTCCCTTTTCAGCAGGAAGTAGCTAAGAGAATACGCCGTCCCCTTTTCCTTATGACTCAGGGTGAAGTCTCTCTCAGGGAGGAGTGATAGGGAATGGCAAAGGACACACTGACAAAGAAGATTAATCAGAACTGGCTTTGACAAGCACTGTGGCATTTGGACAAGAACAAACTGGGAGGAGGGTAGAGAGAATAGTGCAACAATGAATGAGTGGAAGCCCAAAATCTCTGTAAATGTTTATGAAAATTAATAAAATATAATTATAGAAAAAAAAAGAAATATACACATCAACTGCAAAAGCCAAAGATTTAGAAGTTGAGAATTTCTACCAATGTTTGCACTCTGAAACGGATCAAACATGCACTCAGGATGCACTAATAGTAATTGGTGGCTGGAGTGGGAATGCTGATGTGGAACCAGCAAGGGCCACCTTGGGATGCCACGCCTGATGTTTACAGATTTCACAAAGGGGAACCGATCCACAACATCAACAACACAAAACTGATTCCGATGAGGTCAGACATGTCCCCCACGCTCCAGTACCCCTTTCTACTCATCTCAACACCAATCTTACTGCTTTGCTGGGTTCAAAATCCTATGTAATAGCTCCCAGACCACACAGCGCCATACTGGGGAAGCCAAAAGCTTATCATCCAGTTTAGTGGCATGATACGATCAGGATGACTTCCAAAATGAGCTTGCAGGTGCCTCAGCCTTGAACCGCGTGGCTTCAGGCCAGTGTCACAACCTCTCGGTCCTGCCAATATTAGCTTTCCTCACCTCCAAGTTGTCCAGCCAACTTGGGCAAAGGCTCTTCACTTAGCTCTGGTTCTGTCCATGGGGCAGCAGGCCCGAGGTCTGCTCTGTCTCGTGTTAAGTCTCCTGTTCTCCACACTGGCTGCTTTGGCTGTTGCTGTGATCCTGAAGGATGAGTCGCAGTCTCTTGCTTCTTCTCTGTTGCGGTGAGGTTTCTTCCCTCTGTTGCTAGATTTACTCAATCAAACGGCAAGACTGTCCAACATCCTTGAGGACTGAAGAGCTAGCCAATCCCCTGGTGGACAGGCTAATACTCCCTATTCACATATTCCCACCCACCCACATGGCAAAGTCAAATTCAATGGCTACAAATGTAATTTTGAATGATAAACTCAACCTGTCGATAAAAAGAAGGACTTGTAGTTGGAAAATAAGGTCTTGGTGGCAGAAAAGAAGCTGGAAATGGACAGAATTTTGAACAATGAATGATTTATTCATTGCAAATACTTTAAAAAGAGAAGCATGTGCAGTAACTGTATGCATAGACCTCACCTGACAGTTTACACAAGGATCAGGTTGAATTTATGTAAAGAATCACTGGAGAAGCTCAAATCAGCAGTCAAAAAAAAATTAAAAAAAAAAAAAAAAAAAAATCAGCAGTCAAAACCAGGCCAGGAGCTGACTGTGCAACACACTACCAGTTACTCATGTACAAGTTCAAACTGAAGGTTTAAAATTTTTTTAAAGTCTGAGAGAACCAAAATATGACCTTGAGTTTATCTCAACTGAATGTAAAAAACCATCTTAAGAGTAGATTTGATGTTTTGAACACTAACAACAGAAGACCAGACATCAAGACCTCATCCATGAAGAAAGTAAAAGGTCTATACAAACACAGAGCAGAAACAAAAAATAGAAATCGGTGTCAGGAGAGCCTGAAACTTGCGCTGGCTGGAAAAGAAAAGAAGCTAAAACAAAGGGAAGAGAAGCAGAGAGACAGTAAGAAGATTTCCAAAAGCAGCTCAAGAAAACCAAGCAAAACATGACAAAATATGCAAAGAACTGGAGTCAGAAAACAGAAAGGGAAGAGCACACTCAGCAGTTTTGAAGCTGAAAGAACTGAAGACCAAACTCAAGTCCCAAATGCACCACTGGAGGATTTCCGGGGGGAAACCTTGACCAGTGCAGGAAGCATCGAATGAATTGGAGGAATACATAGAATTCCCACACCAAAAAGAGATGGCTGACACAGAAATATTCCAAGAAGTAGCATCTGATCAAGAACTGACAGTAACTTAGGAAGAAGTTCAAACTGCATTGGAGACATTGGCAAAAAATTAGGCTCAAAAACAAAACAAAAAATAAAAAAATATAAGACCCCAGGTATTGAGGGGATACCAAGTGAAGCACTTCGGGAAACAGATGCAACCCTGGACATGCTCCCTCAAGAAATTTGAAAGAGCTACCTGGTCAACTGACTGGAAAAGATTCCTGTTCGTTCCCATTCTAAAAAAGGATGATCCCACAGGCCATGGCCATTACCACACATTATCGTTAATACCGCATACAAGTAAAAATCTTGCTGAAGATTATTTTTTAAATGGCTGGAACAAGTACATCCACAGGGAACTGTTAGAAATTCAAAGCAGGGTAAGAAGAAGTTGTGGGGTGAGGAATATCACTGCTGAAAGTAGAAAGTACCAGCAAGATGTTTACATGTATTTCCTTGACTATGCAAAGGCACTGGACCGTGTTGTTGTCAGGTGCTGGTGCGGACGACTCAGAGTGACCCTCTGAACTACAGAGCTGCCCCTGCCCCTTCCTGTGTCCTCATCCTCTCTGACACACTTGAGCCCATTGCTGCAGTCACTGTGTCAATCCACCTTGCTGGGGGGGGTGGTGTCTTCCTTTAATTTGCGAACCACCTTTCCAAGCACGATGTCCCGCTCCAAGAAACAGCCTCGTCTAGCAACATGTGCAAAGTGTGAGAGACAAAGCTTCGCCTTTCTTGCTTCCAAGGAGCACTCCGGTTGCCCCTTCTCCAAGACATCTGTTCTTTGGGCAGTCCCAGGGATTTCCAGCATCCTTCTCCAAAACTCCAGCTCAGAGACATCAATTCTTCTGCCATCCTTATTCAACCTCCAGCTCTCAGAAGC